GCTCCTTTCATGTGTTGCCTATGATCAATTCCATTACATATTTCTGCTGGAACAAAAGTCAGAGACAAATAAAAGTAGAGTCTAAGCTTATGCACTCTTTCATCACTCCCCACATTATCTCTTTTGAATAAGTACAGCAAACAACGTCATGTCACACACACACACGCACACACATTCGCACACCTGCATATTTAACCGACACTCCGTTAGAGATGCTGCGAAACTTGTTTAGAGCATAACTCAAACGTTTTGTCGCTCGCTGCTCCGTTAATTTCCCTTCTTTTTTTCTGACTCTTTGTTTAAGTTCAATTTTTTTCTCCATTATGTTTCTTGCTGGGGATGGTGGGAAATTTCTCTACGCTCATTTTTCACGGTTCAGAAATGCATAAACTTTGCCAGCGAACGGAACATTTTTATAGCGCATTTAATTAATTAGTCATAAAGTTTTGTTCTTCCCAAGAAAGTTGGTTGGTTGGTTGGTTGGTTGGTAGCCTCGCCTGCGCTCTGGCTGCTTTCATCAACTTCTTGGGGAGGCGTAACTCATTATCCCTTTCTGTGCCTTCAGCTTCTGCTTATTATCCAGCGTCAACGACAGCGCGTCATCATGCGCTCGATTATGGACCCAGCTCAGCCAGAGCCAGAGCCAGAGCCGCCCTCGACTCTGACCAAACAAGGTCTCCAGACTCCGTGGGTAACAAGCGATAGACGAGAGCCCGGCCCCAGCCACATAACTTTTAGATATTCCATTTGCCCATTTGCCGTTAAATATTCATGTGCAATGCTAAGTGGCCCGCGAAAGGTAACTCCTGGTGGACGTGGAGCGTGGAATCAAGTTCGCTCCCCGGCGATTATAATGCCAATTTCTTGCTGTGTGGCTGAAATATTCATAAAATGCGTAATTAATTGATTAATGGCCTCAAAGTCAAAAGTTTTGCCAAAATGCTATCGCTAGGTATCAAATTACTCATAAAGGTCTTTGCCACCCTTCCCACTCCCCCTCACTCAGTTCATAGATGCCCGAGCATGAATTATAATGCCTAGCCTGCGGTACGCCTGGGAAATGCCAACAGAATTTTGGTTAGTTTTAGCCAGCGCAGCAAATGCGCATTTCGCTTGTGGCTTCAAAATTATAGCCAAAGTTATGCCAGCCAGAAGTTATGCTCCATTCAATTCGATAAATAAATTTCGATTTGGCTAATCGTGCATTAAGCATTAATGATATCTACATAAATACTAAATATAATTAAAATTCAATAAAATTGTAATTGAAATGAAATTCAAGCTAAATTTAAAGAAATTAATTTTACTCCAAAACAATTTAATTTACATTTAAAAGAAATTCCGAAAATTAAACAAAAATATTTTAAAAACTAAAATAAAATTGAATAAAAAACCATTATATGATTTTCCTTTTTTAATGAGCTCACGGTAAAAAAAAAGTTTAAATTAAATCTCAATAAGATTCAGAAAATTTAAAATAAATTTATATTTAAATAATTTTATTTTATTTATTTATTTATATATTTAAACAAAAAATCCAATTAAATTCCAGAATATAAAATTGAGTTAGGTTTGTAAATGAAACAATTAAAGGCATTTACCAATTAAAATATAAAGAGTTTAAGCAATATTAATTCATTTATTTAATTTCAGCTCTAGGCTTCCATCTAATGCCAACTTCACTACAGAGCAATCTGAATAGCCTGAACTACATATACCCAACAGCCCGTCCGACCAACTGAAATGTGTAAAAATTGCTCTAAACGACACTTGCACGTAACATGTCATGCTAACATATAATTATATTATTGTTATTTTCTTTGTTTTACACCAGACGCGGCGTTTCCAGCCAATGGACGTCAATTGGTAACCCGACCCGGACAGCCGGACCAACCGCGCCCCCAAAAAACGCCCCCCTTTTTGGTTGTACATATAACAAAGATCGTTGCCTTGATAAACTTGGATACCCCCGGGGGGCACAGCCACATGGACGCACTGCAGCAAACAACAACAGCAGTGGGAAACGCACGTGTTAACAAGGATGCGATAATAAAAATAGAAAGAAGCAACAACAGCAAAAAAGAAGTAAATAAAGCGTTGTGAGGAAATAAACGCTAGAATGACAGGAAATATGTGTGCGTGACATTGTAACTTGCCCGGGTTGTTGGTCCTTGTTGCACCCTCGCTGCCTCGCTACCTCGCTTACTTCCCGCCATCGCTGTCAGCCGTTGCCAACACGAAAGCAACAGGATACACTACACCTGTATTTATATATGCCAACATAGCCATGTACAAATGCCATGGTTCAGCTGGAGAGCATTGGCCAAGCTTCGCCTGGACACGAATAGCTCGAGTATGCTTCAAGATGGGCGGGCTTTCAGCATGATATGTGTCTGGCAGTCGACATGACATGCAATGGTCACTGAAATTAAATATATGTGAACATTAAAAACATATCATGTTGATAACGAAAAGTTTCCATTTTTCTTTCTTCTTTTTTTTTTAGATATAGTTATATTAAAACTTGTTTTAAATTATGTTATTAAGCTAAATGGAGAATTAGCTGAAGCTGTACATTTTAGGGAATATAAATTGTTATAAAATAATGTATGTATATATGTTGTAAAATATTATAAATAAATTTAGAATAGAATAAAAATAAAAATAATAAAAATATTGGCTTTTTTCTACTATTTTTAATTTTATTTAAATTAATTTAGGGGCAAAATTAAAGTCAGACTCCGCAGAAATTCAACAAATACATATATTAATTTTTAATAAAAAAAAATATTAGTTTAATCATATATCATCTATATAGCTGTCTAGTTAAATACTAATACTTTTTTTTTTTTATTATTAATTTTTCATGTATATAACTTTTTAGATAAATACTAATACTTTTTCAGGCAAAATTCACAAAATTCCCTCTGCTAAGAATTTATTTCCCTTATTTCCCAATCAACTGCATTTACTCTAATGAATATCACTCCAAGTAAGCTTAAACGACAATAATTTGATGCACCTTCTCCCTTTTTAATTCCCTCTCCCTCTCCCTCTCTCGCTTGCTCTATCTCTTTCTCTGCCTTGTATCATCTGAAATCACATTTGCTGCATCTAAGCACTCAGCCAAGCTTTAACTGAGCTCTGAGCAGTGCGTGGCAGCGCATTAAAGCTAACAATGTTGCAGCACAGCAGTGAGTGGAATGAATACATAGTTCTCTCTGTTTGGCTGAGTTATCAAGCGTAAAAACTCGTTAGAGCCATACACAAATTTGCGTACTTGCTACCAGCAGGCAGCATTTACAACTGCTCTGGCAATTTTTTACGATTCAACGCTTGGCTATAATAATTGTATTTTTGATATCTTGTTTTCTTTTTCTTCTTTTTTTTCCACTCTCTCTGCCCTCGAAATTTTGTTCGGCTACTTGGCGCAGCTGTCGGCTGCAACTCTTGCTAACTGTAAATTGTGAATAAGAAATGAATTTCGCATTTTGATTGCGACATTAGATCCATCTATTTATCAGTCTCTAGTATCACAGTCACTTCAATTAGCAGCGCCATCAAAATTTGCTGCAACTTTGTCGCTTGGCTTTATGGCCATGCTAATGGCCAATCCTTTCCAGTTGGCTACCAAAATACTTTAATAAAAACCATTTCATGGTCATTTTTATAGCCGATTTCATTAGACGAGTGTGGCGGTACCCTGCAAATGCATTAACTTGCTGGGGCTTGTATGTAAAATTGATCAATTTGTTAAATAAGTCTTCAGCTAGAAGTGTTTCTCTCTGGAAAATTGGCATTTTATTTGAAAAATAAAATAATATAAAATAAATAATAGCAATAAAAACAAATAAAAAGAACTTATTAATACCAAAATAAATAAGAATAAAAAAACTAAAACAAAAAATAATAATAATAATAAAATAAACGAATAATAAAGTATTCAATAATAAAAATAACATTAAAAAAATTTTAAATATTAAAAATAATAATTTTAAAAAATTCATTTCATTTAAAATACTAAATTTAAAAAATAATAATAATGATCGACCAAATGAAAATAATGAAAAATAATATAAATTTTTAAAACAAATAAAAAAATATATAAATAATAATAATATTATTATTAGTTTTAATTTTTAAATAATTAAATATTTATTTTTGCACATACTTCTTTTATCTTGACTCTCAAGTAATAAGTATTTCATACCAGTCTCGCCTGTTTACAGGGTATATTGACCGCCCGCCTGACCAGCGTGCACTGATCTAACTAATTTTTGTTTGTCAAACAATGTGATTACAAAATATGATTTATGCTGGCGTTAAGGCTAGACGCATTTATTTGCCCAGCCACGCCCACAATTAACATTGCACTAAAACCATTTTAAACAGGCCAAAAGCATTTATTAGTTGATTTTCTTTCGCTTGGCTGAATTGTGGCTTTTAATAAAACGAGCTTTTGTTCTCTGGCAAATTTTTTTCTCATTTTTTCTCTGATTTTTTTTTTTTTTTTTTTTTATGGATGCAAGTTTTACAGTTTGGCAAACTACTGCGAACGGCCAGTGGCATTTGGAGTTGAGGTTGAAATTGAAGCCAGCCAGACATTGGCTAGACCATATATCATATATGTATGTATATCTATGTGTGTGTGTGTGTGTGTGCCTTCATTGTGCGCAGTGCGGCGGCAGCGCCTTTTGATAGACGATTTATTAAGCGTTTATTATTAGTTTTTGCCTTTTGATGGCTTTTAGAGCATTTTTGATTACAAATTCCAATGGCTGCAGCTAAATGCTGTTATAGCCCGTATAATGGTTGGAGTAAAAATTGTTAGTTAAATACTTGCTGTACAAACGGAAGATGATAGCCATGGCTGAAAGACTTTAGATTTTTGGTAGATTTTAGATAGAGTGAAGCAGCGAAGCTTAAACGAAAATGCTATAGAGCTTAAGTGATGATAAGAAAAATTACAGACCACCTTTCTTTCAAATATATACAGCGTGTTTCTGGGCCGACTTTATAATAGATTTAATCTTATTTTTCTTAAACATTAATTGAAAGAAATGTGGAAATTTGTCGCTAACCAAGGCGCTGCTCTCCATTCACATAAGAAAGGCGCATAATGTAAATGCCGAGCGGCTTTATTTGTGCAACACAAAAGCCGTGCAACAATAATGCACATCAATGGCAGCAACAAAGGCTCGACGCTGCCTTTTAACAGCTCAATATGATGCTTAAGTTCTTGCTTCCTGGGAATTCTGATTGTGCGAAAATGCAAAACAATTAATGCTGAGAGGTAGGCAAATATGGATGCTGTTGCCGACTGCACACACCTGCCTTTTTGTGAATGTTAAATGTAGCAAGGCGTCCTGGCTGTCAAACAATGCATCTTTGTGTCCCAGTTGGAGTTGCTCGACTCCAGAGCTCCCACAGCACGAATTCGCTCATATATGACACATCGGACGACGGCTGCAGCTCAGGGTCAACGCCAGACGGTCAGGGCCTGGCTGACAGTCCAGACTGACATTAAACTTGCATGAGGCCATTAAAGAAATGAATCCATTTAAGGGCAGCCCAACACATCACGCATATAGTAGCAGTCGGGACTGCACCCAACGTCGTCGTCGTCGTCGTCGTCATCGTCGTGTAAGTCATTTGTTTGAGGCAACTTTAAATCGCTGCGCTAAGCAAATAATTGATTGAATTTGCGCTGGCAAATTGCAGCAATTTGTTGACATTTCGGAAATTGTTTTCAAATTGCTTCTACAATGTCGAAATTTAGTTTACTCTCACATTAAACTGTTCAATTTCGTGTTTGCGTACCTGCGCAGGTGTAGCATTGAAAATGAAATATAAAAAAAAAATAATAAAAACAGGTGTGTGCGCTTCACATATTACAATATGCACACGTGTCGTATGCGTAATTTGGCTTATCGATTTTGGAATGTCAATGCGTTTAAGTAGTAGTGACATTTGATTCATTGTTAACTGAAGTTCATTTCAATTCAATATCGAAATGCGAAAAACTGCTCATTTATTGAATAAAGAAAGCAAAATTAATATATTTAATATATTTAAATTACTTTTGCCGTCCATATTATCTTACGAAGAACCGACTGAGGCTGATATATAAATGGTTATAATACACACAATAAATAATTGTTAATAATATTGACTTATAATACAATATAATATTATATATTATAATTTATATTATAATACAATATATTATAATACAATAAATAATTGCTAATATTATTAAAATTGTTAGTATTTATTAACGAAATGAAAACTGCAACAAAATAAATATATTGACCCATATAAAGTACAAAATAATATTAACATTTACATTTATTCTTTTATTATAATTTTTTATTATTAGTTTTATTATTTATATATTTTTTATTTAATATTTTTTTATTTATATATTTTTATATTTTAAATATTTTTGTATCTATAATTGTTTATTCGCATTTTTAGACATTTTTTTATTTATTTATTTTTTATAGATGTATGTTTATAATTTATATATTACCAGATTTCTTATATTAGGGAATATTTTTAAGTCCATATACCCTCCCCGAAGATATTTTTAAATCTATCTAAAATATCTTTCCATTTTACAGATATTCTTATCAGAAGATCATCTCATTTTGTATACAATTCTACTTTAACTAATCTTCAGTCTATAAGCATATTATTAGCATATTTATTCTATGCTCATTTTTTTTTATTATTTATTTATTATTTCTCAATCAATACTCAAATCAAACAGAACTTCAATTGGTGGTTGTGCTGCTGCTGCTGCTCCAACTCGAACTCCTATCGGCCTCTCCAATTGGAGCGTCACTGGAAGTATCGCTGCAAGGTGCCGTTCTCGTAGAGACGCTTCACGTCAGTGCCGCCGCCAATGAATTTGCCATTGATGAAGCAGCGTGGCACTGTGCGAGCACCAGTTAGCTCGCCAAGCACCGCCTGAATCTCATCGGCATCGCTGCGCAGGTCCAGCTCAACCAGGGTCATCTCCACGTTCAGCTTGCGGAACTGCTCCTTGGCCATGCTGCAGTAGGGGCAATAGGTCTTGCTGAAGATCACGACCTTGTTGTTGTTGATTGTGTCACGAACGAACTGTGCATGTGGGCTATCCATATTAACGTACATCATCGGCTTTTCCATAGAACTAACTATAGTTCCCATTTAACAATTCTGACCCGCTACCAATCGATCTCTGATCGATCTATGGACCAATATGTTTCGAGTTGAGAAAAATTAAATTTTGATTCGTAATTTTCAGACAATGCTAAATAATAGTAAAATGCCATACAGCACCGATTGCTATGATCAGAGGTTAGATTATAGTTTGGGTGATATATATAAGTTTTGAATTGAGCTTCAATTTCCATATAAAATTTCTGACATTAAGTCTTATAAATAATATATTTTATATAGCTTGCAACTTTTTTTGTATACGTTTTCTGGGTATAATTTGTTAGCCCTTTTGCTTTTCAACATTATGACTTCATCCTCAATCTGAATTATTAACCCCTTTAAACAGTCTCAGTTTTCAGATTCATGCATTATTTAACTTCTTTTTTAGAGCAAACATCTTTTGCTTACCTTGCCGTTCATCAGCAGATAGAAGTCTCATCTATTTCCCAACAGACCTCTTTTCTCACTTTCACTACTTTGCGGAGCTAAAAACATCACACAAACATATCGTCTACTCCTAAAACTAAAACAAACATGAAGGTGAGAGAAGCTGCTTAAACAGAGATACCCTGTAATGAGCTGAATGATGATGGAGTATATAAAGACTGACCTATGAGTAGTCGTAAATATCAGCTTGAGCAGATATAGATGATATTGCTGCCTTGTAGATTATGAAAGTAGCAACAGGAGTAGGCTAATCTGTGGAAACTGTTCTCTAAAGAAAATCCTAAATTCCATTAAAAAATATCTATAAATAAACATCTCTCTTAACAAACTAGCATCGACATTATCCCTTAACTAAACTATAAACTACACTCCTATCCACTGATATACCCCATTTGGAGAGAAGCTCTAATGGATATAGGAAACCGCAAAGCTAACAGCACTCAAGCGCGCACAACTAAAACCTGAGATTGCTGTAAAGCGACACTTTCTAATGAAGTAGGCGTTTACTTATTTATGCAAAGTCTGAACCTCAACTAATGGCGAAAACATCAAAGCGCATTTAGACATTTTCGAGCCAAGCGAACTCCTCAATGGCCAGGCCATTAAATATTAAACAGCCACGGGGCAAAGTCATTTGAAGTGCAAACGGAAAATAATGCAATGAGTGAAAGGTGTAGTCAAAGTTGGAGCTGGAACTGGAGCTGGAGCTGCACTAACTAAACGGCAGACATATGGGAGAGAAAATCCTTTTCATTAACGTGTCGCTTGTTGCTGACCTCCCGCCTCGGCCTGCACCTCCTCCAGCCCGGGTGTTGCCAAAGTTCCGTGTAACAATGTAATTTATTGTGCGCACCTTTGTTTTCAGTCAACACGCTTTCAGCGCTCGGTAATAAAACAATTTCTCAACGTGTATGCAACCTTGTTGTCTGCACAAGTTGCCATCGTTGCGGATCCTTGGTGTGCAACAATTTAGCACGGCAAATGGATTATTCCCGGAGTTGCTCATCCACTTGAGCACTGGCTCTGGCCAGGTGAGTCAAGTAGCGTTTTATGGCCGTCTTTTACGTACTCACCTATGCAAATATGCCTTGTAGTTCTTTGGTCAGGTAATTAAAAGCAAACTAAACGCATGCGACAAACTCATTTATCGCATGCTATAAAAGCTTCGCTCAGTTCCCTTGTGAGATTGCGCAGGCTTCACTTCCAGAGCCATCGCTCTCTCTCTCTCTCTCTCTCTCTCTCTCTCTCTCTCTGTCACGCTCTCTTCGTAGCAGCTGTTTGATTGTCGGAAATTCTAAGTTGTTGCCTTTAATTGTTTTGGGAAATTTACTTACAATCATTTTAAATTGTTCGCGGTTTTTCCCAAGGATTAGTACTTAATTTGATTAGGCCCAACCAATGGCTGGCGTATTTTTATAGCCGCATTGTTGATTTTTCAGTTCGTTTGAGGCGAGGCAGTCAAATTTCATTGTGCCACTTTTGCCCACACAATTGCAGGACAATAACTATTATTTGCCCAATTAAACTCCAAATGGCATTGGCATAAAATTTTAGGCTTTAGCGCTCTCAAACATTTTGCGTAATAGATTGTGAAATCAGATTGTACGGCTGGCTGCTTGGATGAAATATGTTTATATATGTATGTCTTGCTGTGTTTAAATGTTATATGTGTATGTATGTATGTTTGTGGGCAGAATGAAAAGCTGAATATTTTAAATATTCACATATTTTGATTTATAATGTATATTTGGTCAACTAAATATGGATATATAACTCCTTAGTTAAGAGACATTCAGCAAAATTTTTAAAGTACTGAAGAGGTGTGAAATTGTTAAAGGCATATAAAAATTTTTTGCTTTTTATATATGTTGACTCAATTAGCTGTTAGATAAAGACAATTTACAGAGTTTTTAAAGATGTAAAAGTTTTGAAAGTTTTCCTTTCTCGTTTGCTGACTCCATTTTTATCCCTTATATAAAGGCCTAATGAATACACAATTATTTTATCTACAGGTCATAAAATGATCATACTCTTAACTGAGACAGAGACTGAGATATATTATTATTAGTCAGATCTTAAATAAAATGACGAATAACATCAATCAATAATTGATTAGCTATAACTCAACTGAGGATTATCCAAGATCTTAAAGTCTCTTACTGCTTACCCTCCCTCCCTATCTCCCTCCCACTCTCCAATAAACTTTCTCCCTCAGGCACCATCTCTCACTTGGTTTCTCCTGCTCGCAACTGAACTCGATTAATTCGACATTTAAGCACTTGTGCGAGTCTTATCCAATCGAATGCTTTACTTTTGCATTGGCAATAGTATCTATATAGTATATATACATCTATGTCAGCTATGGCAGCCCCACACAGTCAATTGTCCATTGAACTAATGGCAAGCAGTTAAGTTGGCTTTTAACGAGCCCGTTGCTCCAGCTCAACTACCTTTGTGATCCAACTGCTATTTATTTGCTCGAGCCATTGTTTAGCCCATTGGCTAATCGGCAACAATTTGTCTAAAGTACGTACTGCCAAATTAATATCCAATCATTAAGTCAACTATGCAAACTTCAATAGCGGATGGAGAGCTAACGCTAATACGCAATACTGACCTACAATATGGCGAGTCACTCGACGCAAATTCCAGAGGAACACGCACTACAGCAAAAGGGTTGGCATTGCATGCCAGTAAACGTGGCCGATAGAGAGTGAGTTGGGTGAGTGAGCTGGGTGAGTGAGCTGGGTGAGTGAGTGAATGACTGGAGCAGAGACTGGCTAATCATTAATATCGGTCAGGCGCAAGGGTTGCTGCCCATGGGGTGGCAAAAACAGTTCAGATTGTCGACAGCGTTGACTATCGACTTTCAGCCGCTCATTTCTTGGCTAATTGCGCGACGTCAAATGGCCCAGAAATGCGCCCTGGGTACTTTGAACTCTAGAATTGCCCACTTGCCGCGGCGCATTTCGTTACGGCTTAATTGATTAGCTTAATTTGCATTTAATGTTCATAATTTTTAAAATGCTCACACAGCCTGCTGCTGCTTCTTATGATGCTACTTCTGCTGCTGTGAAACTTTGTTATAAATTTCTTCATTAAATATTTTCATTCATGTGCCGCACTCACACACACACACACACACGCGTAGACACCCTCGCGAAAAGGGTTTTCAAGACTAAAAGCGAAATTAAATGAACTGGCTGCGCTGTAATTATTCATGTGGGGATTTTCGTAACGGCTGCCTTCTGCTAAGCCAACCAGATAAATGCGAAGACATCGCTTCGTTGTCTCAGCCAGAAGGTAACTCTGAAAG